AAATGAAAACTCCCCTTTCTGGGGTTCACAAGTTGTGATCTGTATACGTCTACCACCATCGCCACCACAGAGGCTTTCTATGTGAAATATTTTTTTTAGAGTTAAAAAGTTGGACTTGAAGGAAACATATCGGCTTTAAAGAGAGTCTGATGAGAAATAAATCATTGTTTGTGGTTTTTTTGGCTAAGTATTATCGGGCCACCTTCGTATGTAAGTATCTATGCATAAATGTACTCCGCATGAGAACCAGTTTCTCACCTGTGTTGGCCCAATAAGCAAGTGAGCTTCAAGCCAACGAACACATCGCTTATCTTACCCTCAGAGACGTTTGAAAAGACTCCCTTAGGGGGTTTCGATGAGTCAAACTCGACTTAACATAATTTCCGTCTTCGTCCTTGGAGTGCGTACTTTTGAGACATATACGTCGAATCGTCACATCAGTCAAATGCAATTATTGTACTGGTTGGTGCCACTTCCCGACGTTTTTCAGCCTGCGCAGCACACGTGCTGCAGGAGGAATGAAGAGCCCGAAATATTTAATATAATATATATCAACAGGATATCGATATCCCCACCAGAATTATGGGCACCTGTAATAGCTCGCCTGACATTACCATCTTAGTGGTGGTCTGATAATAAGAATAACCTGGCGAACTACAATCGCATCAGACCGTGTGTCCATTATGAATTCGATCGAGAAACTTCCTGACTTTATTTTTGCGGACAAACCCATCTTCATTAACTTCAACAAAGGTAACAGGGTCGTTCTTCACAGAATTTACCGAGAGCGCCTTAACTGCACTACCCATTCTTTCGGTCGTAATAGTTGACGAATGTCACTTCCGTAGCTGCTACCGCTCTCTTCATCTCGGCTGGAAGAATCCGGGAACTCCGCCCCAATTTCCCAGCCAAAGCAGCTGTTTTAGCTATTAAGTGCGACACCTTATGCCATATCGATCCCTGAGATTCCCGAATAAGCGATTTAAATTTGGAGATTCGGCAATCAAATAAAAGCCTTGTCTGATCCGAAGAGACATGATAACCAATCTATTCAATGGACATGCCTCCTTGGCACTAAGAAGTGCGCGATTGTTTAGCCGGCAGTTCACATTACACCCTGCGACAGACAAAGCCAAACGATGTGTTACCGGACGATTGCGCAAAAAGAAAAGCCGCATCACTTACTTTCACCGATTAGAAGGTTCGAAGTGTCATCAACAAAACAAAATTCTCCAAATCCATTGGTCCAGACGGAGTAACATGCTATTGCTATAACATCTAGGCTCGCTAGGAGTAAGCTTCCTAACCAAGATCTTCAACCACGCTTCAACTATATAATGTGTAGAAAGTCGGAAGAGTAGTCCAACTTCTGAAACGTGGGGAACGCGCCAATATGGAGGAGTTTTATCGCGCGATAGTGAAGACACTTGAGGCCTTATTACTGTCGACATTCACTTACCACCTGAGTCTAACAAAACCAGCATGGCTTCTGCAAGCTGCACGTCACCACCACAGCAGTTAACTGTGGCTCTAGGTTGGACTTGTCAAACGCCTTTGCCACACTCAAACACGCATTGTTACTTGAGGTCATTGAACAATCCACTTTCCCTCTAGGGTTGAAGAGGGGGACTATGAACTACCTGAACGGTCGGCAGTCATCATACTGGTTCCAGGTAAAAACTCTAAATTTACAAGAATTAAACCGGGGGCTCCGCTGGAGGCAGTCCTCTTCCCAACACATTTCTACATTTCGAAACTCCCTCAACTACTAGAAGGAATTTCTATCAACTTGTGCTCATGCGCATGTGCTCAAAAGCCTTTACCACCTTTTCTCTGCAAGAACAGTCTCCCCCTCTAAATGCACAGCGACCATATTCACGAACTGGACGAAGGAGTACAGACTAGACATTAACATTGCAGTCGTGACGTTAAAATTCTGACTGTCAATAATCCTAAGATTTAAGGTGTAACACTAGACAGCCTCTACGTGACTGTCCTCCTTGACTCCTCATACGACAACTGCCAAAGTACAACAAACATTGTTGGCAACATACAAGGCAATCGGCTGGTCCTAAGCTACGCCGCACCAATATGGTCGCCTGGATGCATTGAAACACAGACGAAGAAGCTTTTGACATGTCAGAACACTGCACTCCGGAATATAACGGGATGCTTCTTGATGTAGCGAGGACAGTATGCTTCTGGTTAAGGAATATAACGAACTTCTCTACAAGCAGTTTCTGCTGGCATGTTTTCGTGCGTGGCGCCATTAGTAGGCGATCTAGGTAGTTAAAGGAAAACTAATTTGTTCAGTTTTAGTACATAATATCTTTCACCGGTATTACATATATATGCCTAATAAAATGTTTCCAGTATTAAAATTTTTGCTAAATTGAATTTCAAAATTTTTCCTAATTACAACTTAATGTCATATTAAGAGTGGGTCGGATAATAAAAATAACTTATTGAATGAAAAATATTTTTTTTATTCAATAATACTATAGTGCTTATATACTTCCAAATTATTAAACTACCCTAACAAAATTAGAAATGTCAAGTGATAGCAGATGCTTTTGACAGTTTGATATTTGGTTATTTGGCATACTACATGCATTTCTAAAAGCAGTTAATTCAGTGAAAGAAAAATAATTAAATTGCAATGGTTACTCAAGAATTTCAAGCTGTAGTTCTAGCGGCTGGCCGCGGTACACGTCTGCCGGAAGTGTTGACTGATTCGCCGAAATGCCTATTGCCGATCGGTCCATATCCATTATTATGGTACCCATTAAATATGCTCCAAAAGCATAACTTTCAAGGTAAAATATATGCGAATGTTGCGTTTATTTTAACTATAACTTTTTCTTTAAAAAAAGATGTAATTGTTGTGGTTTTGGAAAATGAGCGCTCGGAGATACAACAAGCGCTTGAACGAACTCCACTAAAGATTAAAATTGACTTTGTGGCTATTGATAGTGATAGCGATTTTGGCACGGCCGATAGCTTGCGAATAATACATGATAAGTATGTAAAATTAATAAAATAATTAATTACAGCATCAGACATCTTACGCATATGAACTTTATTGCAGAATTAAATCTGACTTTTTGGTGTTATCCTGTGATATTGTATCGAACGTAAGTTTGTATCCACTAATAAACAAATTTCGTCAACACGATGCCGCCTTAACAGCCTTGTTGTTCAAAAGCGGATTTGAGTCGGATGTTACTTTGCCCGGACCGAAAACAAAACATAAACCTGAACGTGATCTGATCGGAATTCATCCCGATTCTAATCGATTGCTTTTTCTTGCTTCCGCAAGCGATTTTGAAGAAGTAATGAGTGTTAATGCTCATTTGTTGCGTAAGAATGGAAAAATGACGGTATTCTCCAGGTTGGTAGATTCTCATATCTATGTAATGAAAAAATGGACAATTGATTTTCTTCTTAAGGTAAGATCCATATGATAATTATTATTATGAACAAATTAAATTTAAATTCAAATATATGTAGAAAGAAAACTTTTCAACACTTAAAGGGGAATTCTTACCTTATATTATTAAAAAGCAAATGTCAAAAAAAATGGGGAGTTCAGCTGCCGCCCCAGATATGCAATCGGAAGTGGGAGTTACAATAAAACCAGAAAATGATATATTTCATGTAGGTACGATATTTTAACTAGAACCCGCATATTTTAATTGCAAAAGTATTATTATTTCGTTTAGTACGCTTCGAAGACACATCTAGAACAACGCATACAGAAAGCTACGCTCTTTAACGATTCTCGAATCAAGGAACCATACAATGGTGATTTAATTCGCTGTTATGCTGTTGTGGCACCTAAAGAGAGTATTGGTGTGCGTGTAAATACTACTCTAAGCTTTTTCGCAATTAATCAAAAGGTAAATAATAATGGATAATTTGAATAATAATTAGACTGTTTACGAAAGCATCTGCTTTTATATCTGATATTAAGATGGTTTTTGCCACTAACAAAACAAAACAACTTAATATGAAAATCACATTTATCTGGTAACTACTACAAACTCTGATTTAATTTTAGATTTCCAATATTTGGCCACAATTGTTCAACGAACAGGAACACTTACTTATTTCATCAAATGCCGTCATAAACTCAACTCAAATGAAGGAAGTCGCGGTCGGAGATAGTGCAAAATTATCAGAGAAAACATCACTTAATTTGAGCGTTTTTGGTGCTAATTGCACAATCAACCCGAAAAATATTATAAACAAATCTATTATAATGACAAGCGCTATTATTGAAGAGGGGTGAGATGACAAAGCAAGAAACTAATGCCATATACTCTTAAATATGTATATTTACACATATTTATTATTTTTTATTATAGTTGTAATATTGAGAATAGCATCGTTGGAAGCAGAGCTGTAATTAAACGCGGTTCCGTACTGAAAAATTGCTTAATTGGACCAAGTTACGCAGTAGAAGAGGGTACGAAGAGAGAAAATCAACATTTAACAAATGCTGATGGATTTATGGAGATTGATATACAATAAAAATGAGATTTTCTATATAATAAATACGTTTTTATTAATTCCTCTAAGTATACAATTTTTAAGAATACTTTCAGTAGTAAAACAAATACTGTCTACAGTATAATTTTTGTGTATGCAAAACTGTGTATAGTATGAATCTTTTGTAGGCGGGATTATTGAAGGAAACGCTTAATTTTTAAAATTGGAAAACTTGAATGGTTCCCACGCCATTCGCATTTTATTCGAAAAATATGGAAATTTAAAACACAAGTAAACAATATTATTTTCTCATTTAAAAATGTAGCAAAAAGTTAAATTAAGGCAATAAAAAGCAGGGGGCCATGAGAATTTTATTGGATTAGCAGAGAACGTTTATTATACATATGAATATAATATAATATACGTTCTCTGAGATTAGTATCCACTTGTCAAATTTATCATTTTGTTTTGATAATCAAATTCTAGTTTCCATTTTATTTTTCTCTTTATTCTATATATTCGATAAACAAACATTTTCTTTTATTGAATAGCAGCTGATGAGAAGTTAGTAATTTTAACTATTTAAATAAAATTTTAGCCCATTGAATAGGAAATGCTGTTGATTTACCGGCTGTCGCCGCTATTGCGATTCCCTAAAGTCAGATTGTATGGTAAAAAATATATAAAACCAAATAAGATGAATAAAATGTTGTCAGGAAATACACCCAGTAAACAAGTGCATCAGGAAACTATGCGCTACATTTATCCATTTGCGCGAATTAATATACACTCTGAAATTTATTTACAAGTTAAGGCTGCCAACGTGCATGAGTACCCGGATGCCAATGTGCTAATCGGTGAACTGCATGGTGGACACGATCGTAATTGTCCTGTTAACATGCATGTTGATGTGAGTGAAGATGAAAGACTCGTAAATATTGCAATAAATAAAACTGCAAACGCCCTCGATTTTCATTGCAATCTGGAAATACCAATTCGTGCGGATTTGCATATTGAGGCTCTTGATAGCGTTTCAGTACGGAACATATTCAGTTCAGAAATTACTGTTCGAGCGCAAAAAAATATAGAAACCAAAGAGTTACGCGCGGATAATATAACTCTAAACAGTGCTGGTGGAAATATATCTTGCAAAGGTATGCTATTGGGCAAAGTTACTACGGTGGAGACAAAAGATTTAGGTGTAGGTGAACCGAATAACAAAAAAAAAAAAAAAATTAATACTAATTTAAATATACATTATATTGCTCTAGAATATTTCACTAGAGAAGTTGCAAGGTGATCAGCTAAGCTGTAAAACAGATGCTGGTAGCATCTCTACAAACTCCTGCTATGTAGAAGAGTCAAAATTTGTAACCAATACCGGTTCTTTACAACTAAAAAATGTTCACAAAAGAACTGAAGTGGAAGTACAAAAAAGTGGTGAACTTAATATGAGTAAGTTAGGCTATTTACTCATAGAAGTGTATTCTAATATTTAATTATTGCTTTACAAGCTGGAGTTCACGGTAATCTTAAGGTGAGAACCAACGGTGGAAAATTAAATCTGCAGCTCTCCGAACTGACTGGAGAGAACGTTGTTAAGGCAAACGGAATTGAACAAGCTATAATTAACATTTCCGAGTGCATTGAAGAACAGTCCAACATTGAGGTCACATCTCGTGCCGTAGTACTGGATGGTTCACTTTCGCATTTAAAGGATTGTGTAATTAACAATGATACACTCTTTCGCAACTCAAAATCAACAAATGCATTAAGTAATTTGACTGTAAATAGTAGTGGCGAAGTTAAACTTGGCAAGTTATCTTGGATGGAGTCCCTACGCGGGCAACTAGACAAATCAGGACAAAAATAGTCAGAAACTAATTATGTAGAAAACAGTAACTTTACGATGATACTCTAAAATCTTTGTGATTAGGTAACTTATGTTGTTCATTAAATACATAGCACATAGCACCGGCTTAATAAATTCTGAATAGAATAATGTTATAAATTTGTATTATCCATTATTAATGCTGTAAATTGTCTAGTACATTTTGTATTTTTAAATAGCATCGCTTTGATGGTTGATCGTCTTCACCAATGCTAAGGGTACTTTGCAAATTCCGCATATTGTCATCAAGATTTTCTTTCAAAGCATTTTCCAACTGTAGATCAGTAGCAGCATTAATTACACGAACTATCATATCGAGTATTGTTAGGTAACTGGTTTCAAAATTAAATTCAACCTCTTTAAATACATTATTTTCAAAATCATTTCCCGGTGGTGTTTTTCGAGCAAGTCGCTCATTTTCCAATCTTAACAAATTCCAAATACTAATTGCATATATCAGGCATCTTTCATCGAAAGGGTCTCCTAGGGACTAAATATTTTTGTACATTAGGTATTTTACGGATATTAAATGCAAATACGTTAAACAAACCTCTAAGATGTCATTGATGCTTTCCAAAAGATCTTGCTCCTGATTGGACAAGTGCTCAATATACTTAGGATTGCATAGAGGTTCAAGAATACAACCTAAGCAATCCATTAGTGACTCAATATGTGGAAAATAACTATTTTGTGACAGGTTATCATACTGCGTTAATATACAGTGTATGTTTAGGAAAATCTGCATTAAATTGTGCGTACTCTGTGTAAGCACAATCGTGCTTTCAACATCGTCGTTATCATCATCATGATTTTCTTGTAACTCGGAGTTATCTTTTCTCGGTAATAAAGCTAGGAATGCTTCCGTTGTGGCTTTTATTAAAGACTCATTGACAAATAACTGCTCAAATGTTGGCAATAACTCTGCATTATTTTCAGATACTTTTTGATTAGGTTCAATAAGTGCAAATTTGGCTAATATCGCATTTAGAGTTTCGATTGTTTGGCGAAGAAGTTGTTCGTTTATTGAATTACTTAATATAAATATAATATTTTTAATGAAATCGGGGCAAAAGGATATATGTTGATACCACTGCAATGCCGTTCCACGATCTGCATGTATTAGCACTGCAGAAAATAGTCGGGTGAGTTGAAGAAGTGTCGGTGAATCGGAACAATTAGTTAAATCTAGAAGTGTTTGAACCAGCAAAGTATCCTTAACGAGTGCATCACGAGACTCTTTGAAATTGCACATGTTTCCTAATATTCCCACTAATATTTCAACTAAACGTTTATCATTTGTCGCAATTATACAATCGGCAAAGAGTTCCAGTACGTTATGCTCCAGGAGCAATTGCACAACATCCTCTTCAATTGTCATATCCCAAATTGTACATAGGTCATTTTCAAAACTCTCATTTTCAGAAAGCTCCTTCTCCAATTTTGTCAGCTTCAGCAACGTGGAAAGCACAAAACGTTCACTATACAATGTGGTACCAATAGCATCGCCACGTATACGCGCTAAGTCCTCTTCAACATGGTCAGTATCATCAGGATGTACGGACAGATTGCAAGCCCCACCAATAATTGATTTATCATCGTTTTCAAGTTGATTCACTAAATCAGATTGAACTTTTATTTTTGCCGAATGTGTAGGCGAATTTGTAGATGTATTATCCTTTTCCATTTAGAACCTTATTTTTTTTTTTTTTCTAATAAACAAATGAAATTTAAATGTTTTGTTATTATGACAGCTATGTTGTTTTGATTATGAACAATTTTGTTTATTGATTGCCCTGTTTTTAAAGTTCACTCTTTTATTATGGTTTTATTGTTCACCACAAGCCATACGCAAAAAATTAAAATTGGACGTTATATATTCGTATTTGCAGTATTTTTATACTGAATATTTCATAGTTTAATTATAAAAATTAAAAAATGAAATACAAATTAAAAAAAAAAAATTATAAATAAATTTTAAAAAATTCGTACACCTTGTGTTTCGTTCCTCTCACTATCTTGCAAATTAGCAACGTAGATATTAGATTTACTTTTATTGTGGCTCGAGTTTATTGTTGATTGTTCAAAAACGTAAAATTAATGAAAAATGTCTGTTGTAATTGAAACCACAGTAGGCGACATAACTGTTGACCTATTTGTGGATGAGCGCCCCATTTCGTGTCTTAACTTCATTAAGCTGTGTAGATTTAAATATTACAATTATAATCTTTTCCACACAATTGAACGTGGGTTTATTGCACAGACCGGCGATCCTACTGGTGTAGGCAATGGCGGTAATTCTATATGGGGTGAAGTGGACGGGCCAGATAAAAGGTTTTTCGAAGCTGAAACTATACCAAAGATTTATCACTCTTCAGCCGGTCTCTTGTCACTTGTTTCTGCAGGAAAAAATTTAATTGGATCGCAATTCTTTTTCACTTTGGCGCCAAATTTATCTTCATTAGATGGTATTCATTGTGTTATTGGCGAAGTGGTAGAAGGTAAGAAATATATAGTATAAATGTTTATAATTATGTAGTTTTATTATTCGAACTTCAAATTTTAAAAATGATTTTTAATACCTCGTGGTATCATTCCATTTTTAATATTAAACTTCCCGTTAACATAAACCTCGTAGCAGATAAATTAACTTCTTGTTAACATGAAGATAGCAAATAATATGAATGTATGAAAGTATTGTAAAATTACTTACATACAATATTTATCCTATTTCAGGACATGAAACACTTCGAAAAATAAATGAGGCCATTGTTGATGATAACTTTCGACCTTACCAAGATATTCGCATAACTCATACAGTTATATTAGAAGATCCTTTCCCAGATCCAAGTAACTTTTTATTACCAAGTCGTTCTCCATCTCCCACACCTCAACGTTTGCAGAATGGTCGTATCGCCGCGGATGAAGACATTGACGATACAGATGGAAAAACTGTCGAAGAGTGGCAAGAGATGCTTGCGGAGCGAGAAGCAAAAGCGCGAGCAACTATCCTTGAGATAGTTGGAGATTTACCCGATGCAGAAATGGCACCACCTGAGAATGTGCTTTTCGTTTGCAAATTAAATCCAGTCACTACTGACGACGATTTAGAAATTATTTTTAGCCGTTTTGGTAAAGTAAAAAATTGTGAAGTAATTCGAGATAAAAAAACAGGTGACTCACTGCAATACGCATTTGTTGAGTTCGACGATCAGAAATCGTGTGAAGCTGCTTATTTTAAAATGGACAATGTTCTAATTGATGACCGCCGAATTCATGTTGACTTTTCACAATCTGTTGCAAAAGTGAAATGGCGCGGAAAGGGCCGCGGAGTAGAAGGTTCCTTAAAACGAGGTGAATTCGACAATTTACGGGAACCCAACAAAAAACATAGAATCGATGATCGTTATCGAAAAGACGCTGATCGGGACCGTTCAAAAAGAAATAATTCAATAGAGCGACGATTGGCTCGAGAAGAGCGCCATCGTGAGCAACGGGAAAAGGATGGAAGACGAGAAAATAGTTCGCACCGAAGAAGAAGTCGGTATAATGAAATGATTGAAGAACGTGAGCAAGGACCGTCGCGAGATCGTTGCAGGCGATCACGTAGCCATAGTGGGGGACGTTATAAAAAATATTCTCCAGTTAGAGAACGACCCGATAGATATAATGAATCAAAGAACTATAGACATAATAACGAAAAATCAAAGCTGCGAGAGTATTCAGATCACAGAAGTAGTGAAAAGCGGTTAGACAGAAAACGACAAAATGAAAGGAATGACAATGGATCTAGGAAACCAAAAGCAAAATCAGAGCGGAGAAAAAAAGATAGCACATCCTCAAGTTCCGACAGCGAAAGCTCAAGTAGTGACACATCTACGGCTACTAGAAGTAGCAGCGATGTTTCTAGTGACATATCTGGTGACAGAAAACGACAAAGACGAAAAAATAGAATAGTTAAAAAGAAGAAAATTAAGAGCAAGACACACAAAAGTAAAAGCAGGCGTAGGAAATAATAAAGCTATTAATTACTATTATATTTTGTGTTATTGTTTTCACAACGATTTTAAAAATAACAAAGTTTTAGTAATTGAGATTTATTGATTTAGTTCTTTGCAGTGCTTTGTCCTCCACAACAGTCTCCCATAGAATTTCCTTTAAGATTTCGAGATGCTGGCTTTTCAATTACAGCATCTGGATTGAAAACAACGTTGTCCAATCGTGTCGTTTCTTCCGTAATACGTAATTCTAAAAATGTACGATTATTAGCACTTTTTTGTTTTATACTTAATATTCAATCTTACTATATACTCCTTCTTTCTCCTGAATGGCTTGTATAACACTTGTGCGCAGTTCGTTGTCAACGTCATGGGCCAGTTGTATCATCTAAGGTATAAAGTTGTACACTTAGTGATAAAATAAAATTGCGTTTTTAATACCTTTTTTATTTCGTCCTCATTTTTTTCACTTCGATTTTTCCGAAACTGCTCATTTATTTCTTTACGCCCGGCTTTTAATGTAAGCTCATCGCCTTGGAACACGAATTGCCTTGTGCGATGTAATTTCTTAAACGCTCTTAGAGCCTATTAACAGCGGAAAATTTTGTTACTTTTAGCTTTGTTTTCTAAAATATGTTCACTTACTTCTCGTCGTAGTTGCGACATATTATTAATTCAACTAAAAATTTATATTTATATAAACTTAATTTAATACCGCACTGTTGTGTTAAATAAATATATAATATCTGCGTATCAGCTGATAACACAGGGTGCTGTTGAAAAACACGTCTACTATCAGAACTCTGCCGCTACAACAACAACAACAACACGTCTACTATTGAAACATTTCAATGTTTAGCGATTTTAAGTTTTCTTCAAAAGCAAAAATACCTGTATTGTACATGTAATCTTAATCAAATGTCATTTTTAAAGTTAAAACGTATTCGTCCAAGAAACCTTTGCCCATTGTTTGATTGATGATTTAATATTAAAATTTTCAAGAAAAACGATACAATTTCGAGTCTCGATTCACAGCTGTCTGACAATTTGTCGGCAAAATAAATTCCAGAGAACGTTTAATCTCTGTAAATTCCTTCCCACGCCGCGCGATAAACAGAAGGTAAATGTGATAAAAAACTCAAATAACCTGAAATATTAGTTTCTTTTGTTCATGGTAGACAAATGTAAACGTTGGTACGTATATACCAGAAAAAATGTTTGCATAAATATGTACCACAGCAAAAAGTGTAGCTAATTTATATTCTACACATGGAACCGCTGCATTAATTATTACTTATATACTCATGTACATATGTACGTCATATTTATATACCGTACAACTGTAATTGTTCGCTCCAACTTGTTATTTAATAGCATAATAATATGAGAACTAATAAAATACACTCGTTTGGTTAGTCTTTCAGGTAACTACCGAATCAAACTCATAACAGTTGCGAGAAGTTGAAGCCAACTTGTAGCTTGAACAGAAATTAAAATGAGCAAATATACGTCAAAGTATTTGGAAGACAAACTAGCGGATAAATTGGGAGCGTTATACGTAAATGTGATCGACGAATCGGACGGCTGTGGTGGTAAATTCAGTGTGACTATTGTTTCGGAGGCATTCCGTGGTAAGACATTGCTACAGAAACATCGCTTAGTGAATAGTGCTCTAGCAGAGGAACTTAAGGAAATACACGCATTCTCTCAAAAGTCATACACACCCGAAGAGTGGGAAAAAGTGCAACAGACTTTGAAGTGTTAATAAGAATGTAGTATTTTTATTAGCGCTGTATTTGTCTTTTGAATAAATTATATTATAATAACTACTCAGCCAGAAATATCAGTGCAAGCAATTTTATTAAATTCAGATGTTTGGAAAAAAGCGAATATTGAAAAAAGCTAAAAACCGGAAATCCTCTACACACATTCGTGCTGCGCAGAAAGTGAAAGTATATTAAACAACTACATCCAAATATCTATATATACCAATTACAGGTAATAGACTGCGCATGCGCACATAATTCAAGAGTTGTGTAATTTCAACTAAAACTTTTAAAAATAAAAGTAAAATCTGCGAAAGACAGCAACTGTAGTTCGTTTAAAGCCGAAATGCATTGATAACCGATCTACAAACCAAAAGTCAAGCGACCTCATTTGCATAAATACGACTAAAAAATATTACTCAACACAATTTCAATTTGTTCGAGACGTGGCGAGTTCAACACTGCACTGCATTCGTGTGCGTAAACAAGATAGCTGATCGTTTTCAATTTCTATTTAGACTTTTCTATACTGACGGAGCAAGTAAACAGCGTACATAAATTAAAAATCGATCCAAACAATAGCCGGCGAATCATGAACAAGTTTCAAATTATTGCGCCGGGTAAAGTAATTCTCCACGGCGAGCATGCAGTCGTCTATAAAAAACCAGCTCTAGCTGCCGCTGTCGGACTTTCAACGAAATTACTGTTCTATCCTCAACCCGAAAGTGATGTCGCTATTTTTAATTTGGAAACGCTGAATTGCACGTTTGAAATTCAATTAAAGCAATTTAATGACTTCATTAAAGATATTCGCGAAAAATACCCAGAGAATAAACTTGATTGTACCGCAAAACTACTTGAGGATGTACGCGCTGTTATTGCAAAGCAATTCGATGGCAGTACCAATAATTCTCCAAAATACCAGCAATCACAGAAAACATTTTTAGCTATATATTATCTACTGGCTGGAGCAGTTCTGGCCGCCCCGAGTGAACTTACGTTAAAATCCGGGTTCAAAATTCATATTGATACCGAATTAAATATAGGATCTGGTTTGGGCAGTTCAGCATCATTCGGCGCCACATTAGCAGCGGCATTTCTACTTATCACCGGACACTTCGATGAAAAATCATACCTTAAATTGGAAAATCGAGCACTCATCTCGCAGTGGGCTTTTGAATCCGAACGCATTATGCATGGCACGCCATCTGGTGTTGATAATACTGTAGTTACCTACGGCGGAATGTTAAGATTTGTTAAAGGCCAAGGCTTTCAGTCACTTAACATTCAGCGACCACTCAATATCATGTTGGTAGATAGTCGCGTTAATCGCAGTACCGCAGATATTGTGGCGAAGGTACGACACCTCTGGGAAACATTTCCGAAGGTAATCGATTCCATATGGGACGCTTGTGAAGAGATAGTAGCAGATGCCATACCATTGTATGAAAGCTTTGGTAATGCTAAGGATGATAGTGTAAAGTTTGAAAAACTTGAACGTTTATTCCAAATAAACAATGATCTGCTTAAAGCTATAGGTGTGACACATCCAAAATTGGAGCAAATATTCGCCATTGCTTTTAAACGTGGTTTCTTTAGTAAGATAACGGGTGCAGGTGCGGGTGGTTTCGCTGTTGTGCTATTGCCTGAAAATTATGAGAGTAATGAAGTTTATTGGAAGTTGAAAGAAGAATTAGAGTCCGCGGGTTTTGGAGTGCAATCTACTACAGCTGGAGGCGAAGGATTACGTATTAATGACTTGGAGGATTAGTTTTTTCATAACTTTCACCACGAAAAAATTAACATTGTTAGTTGCAGGGTTAAACATGTTCTCGTGAATGATTTTCCTATTAAAACCGACTATTTAAAATGCTGTTAACGATGTAAAAATATAGAATAGGATCAAATAAACTTATTTTTCTGGTTTTAATATTATTAAGCTAAATTATAAATTGCACAAATATATGGTTTTTATGCTGGATTCTGCACAAAACTTTGTTTATTAAAATGCTAATATAATAAATCTAAGAGTCGATAATTTATTGTAGAATAAATTAGGAGTTAACGTTGGCTTGTATCTCTTGATCTGTAGGGTATGCCACGACTTTTCATTTCGCGCAGAGTTGCTTGAGGAAGATTACCCGATACAGATATGGCATAAACACCGCGGGTGAAACGACCTGCAAAAATATTTGTATTCAGTAAATTACACAATTTATTAATTTAACAAAAAAAAAAAAAATTCTTAGGCAATGACGATGAAATATGAACATACCGATTCGTTGCCATTTCGCTACCCAAGAATCTTCTGGACTCATCAATGCAATAATGCCGTCGAAATTGTTGCTCGTGTGATCATAAACATTGTCTTTGTTGTTCTTCATGCGAAGAAATTCGTCACAATTATCACATCCATCACATTCGAATTGGTCGAAACTCTATAAATTTATATGATTAATAGAATTTGAAGTAATACCGTAGAGTAAATTATTGCAAAAACTTACTTTAACCAGTGAGCATACTAAGCAAGCGCGCAGTCCTCGTAAATCCTTTGGTATTGTATCGAAAGACATTATTAGTTCTGCCCTATATTTCAAGTTTTGAAAATATTAATCTCAGATAAAACACTCTTAAATTAACTTTATGGACTCTATGTGTGAATTAAATAAAAAAATGTATTTAAGATTCCGAATGAAAAACAAGAATGAATTCGCTTTAATTATAAAAATTATTTTGATGGTTTTCAAGTGTCAATTATAAATAGAGTTGCCACATTTTAATTTTATAGAAATATATAGAAGTAAAAATAAACGTTATTTAAATAAGATAACGAAATTTATTAAAATAAAATTAAATTGTATTTACATGGCTTTGATATACGTTAATTAAAAATTAACACATCAAAGAAATATTTTCAAAAGGTATAATTTTGCTATGTGTCAAACGCTATAAAAATTACAATTCTCACAGATAAAAGGGAAATTTTGATGCTTTTCTTGCTGAATCACAATGTTAGAATTTTACCCAACTCCCGAGCCAAAATTTTGACAACTTATAAATCTGAATACTTCTTTTGAATTTCTGTTATTTAGAAATATTGCCAACTGGGGCTAGCTAACTAGTCTAGCTCGTTGCTTGAAATTCTCAGTTAACAGCAAATCTTTAAATTAATGAATTTTTTTCATGCTTTTCATTTAATACTCTAAGGAAACTTTTTCATCCCAATTCCAGACAGAGAAATATGTTATCGTTTTCCACAGACAATAAAATATAATGCGCAACGTTGGCAATGCCATAAAAAGCCATTGCAATTGAATTTTTTTGTGGCGAAATTAATGACAGCTGCCAAATTTTGTCTATCGTTTGTCTACCGCCAACATTTTTTTGGACAAAAATAAACAATTAAGCATGGAATATTTGCTATAACTAAATTTTCGTTAATCATTTTGTAATTCCCGATAAAAAATTTATATATCCTGCATTGTAATTTTTATTTCAAATATAAACACATAAAATTTAAATATTGTGACGGAATGTCATTCTTCAGCGGAAACACTTCGTTGGGAGCTACAAGCACGCCGGCTAAACGTAAGTTTTTTAAGTACTAAACATAATATTGTGAAATTACATACAAAAATTCTGTTATTGCGGTCAAGCAGCTTTTCGCAGATGCTTTAGTTTCTGATCCTTTAATCTGGGTAGCAGCAAACGTTTCGCGTCATCCAAGCTTTTAATGCGCACATCTTTTATTGCGATCCTTAAAATAACTAACTTTTTTAGTTTTAGTTTATGAGCAAAATCAACTCATAATACCTCTTAGTGTGTATTATAAAACCCACATAAATAGCCAGCAATAGCAGTACTAGTAAAACAACAGCGAACATAGTTCATAAACTTGGTCGTATATAATTCGTTCAAAGCTTAATACTGCACTAAATGTGCTGTAAATGCTAGCTCTTTAATTTCAACTGATAAGAAGCTTGACGATAATGGCTGAAGTCTATTTCTATTCTATTTCGTAATCGTAGCTTGATCTATACATGCTTTGCCTTTTATTAAGTCAACTATTTCTTAACAGCTGGTTTATTTTCTACATTTGGTACTGGTTCCGCGACAGCAGCGCCAGCTTTCGGCAGCACTGCGACATCAACAACCGCTCCGACTTTTGGAGCATCACCTTTTGGTGCCACAGGTAATTTTCACTCATTTTATAAACAGATTAAAAATTGATAGTATTAAGCGTAGGGTTTGGAACTGCGGCTACTTCATCTACGCCATCACTTTTCGGCGGTACAGCAACTTCTACCAATGCGACCGGCTTTGGCGGTTTTGGCGCTGCCACATCTACAGCACCTTCTTTTGGTGGTTTCGGAACCACTGCTGCCACTAGTGCTCCCGGTTTCGGCGGATTTGGTGCAACATCGACAACTTCAACAGCGCCAGCTTTTGGAGGTTTTGGTACACAAACTAATGCTTTTGGAGGTTTCGGTACCGGTGGCAGTTCGTTTGGTTCAAGTAAAATTATATAATTAAATTATTACAGTTAATTTTAATTTGACTTTGTAACATTTTTTCTAGCATTCGGAAAACCTGCTGCTACAACTGTTACACCCGGATTTGGAGGTTTTAGTGGGGCCACTAATTTCATGTTAGGACAGCCGCAGCAGCAAGTTCCTCAACTGTCGCCAGATGAAGCTTTCGCTCAGTCCATTTTTAATGTATCCATTTACGGTGATGAGCGTGACACCATTATAGCAAAATGGAATTATTTACAAGCAATGTGGGGAACTGGGAAATCTTTTTATTCTCAAAATGCCGTACCTGTGGAAATTACTCCACAAAACTATCTCTGTCGTTTCAAAGCAATGGGTTATAGTCGACTGCCTGGAAAAGATAATAAAATGGGATTAGTCGCATTGAATTTTAACAAACCGCTGGCTGATGTTAAGTAAGAAAATCTACAAGCTGCATCCTGAGTTATTAACGTATGTTTTTGTACTCATATTTTTACAGGGCTCAACAACAGCAAATAGTCTCATCTTTAAATGGTGTTTTTGGCAATA